CACTCTCTGACTTTAAAGGTACCGCTTTTTCCTTGACCTTTGTCCTATATACCTGGAAAAATCCCTTGGGATTCGCCTTGGATTCTCTTGCTATCCCGATTTCGTAGTCCCTCTTTGCCTTCCTTACATTTTTCTTAACATTCCTAGATAGTTCATTATACGGTTTATACCTATTTCAGAGATACTCCTCCCCTCCCTTTAATTTCTTATAAATTCCTTTCTTTATTCCTATGTTATGTTTAAGTTTTTTGGTCATCCACCTTGGCCTATTCTTATTTGACCTAATTTTTCTGAATGGTATATTTTGTTCCTGTGCTTTACGTAGTTTACTAGTGAATTTAATGTAGTCATCATCAACTGTTGTGTCGCTGGTGACCTCACCCGTTCCTACCGGAGACTGACCTGACGGTTCCCAGGTGACCTCACCTAGGTACCTTCTTAGCCACTGATAATCCGCCAATCGAAAGTCTCGGACTCTGACCATATTGTCATTATTTTTCATTTCCCAATTTAGGGTAAACCTGATTTCTCTGTGATTACTGTTCCCTAGTTCTTCCCCTATTGTGATAGCTCCGATAATATTTTCTTTATTTGTTAATACTAGGTCTAATATATTGTCACCTCTAGTAGGTTCTGTAATTAGTATACATTTTAATGTATCCCTGACGAAGAGTGCGACCCCTCCCCCCTTCCTACCTTTCATGTCCTAGTGAAAAGGATTGTACCCTTCCATGTGGTACTCTGATAAAAATTTCTTGCTCGCCAGATTCATTCAAGTTTCGGTGATTGCTATGACGTCTACATTCTCAGTACATACAACCGCTCTCAGCAAGTCTATTTTATTTCTAACGCTCCTACTGTTTGTGAAGTTTACATTTAAACCTACCCTTCCCTGGTCCTGTTTTACCCCTTGTCCTGAGTAACTAATTTTACTCCCCAGGACCTGCTTGTTTTTTGACTCCCATACCAACAGTGAACACAAGTCGTGCACATCCATCTCTTGACACTCGTCGTTTTCCCGTTAAAATTCTAATAATCCTGTTCAATACCAGTAACAAAACGTTGGTAGCCGCGCGAGGATTCCGGGAAATCCTGTCAGTCGTATTAGATAGCCTCTCGACCCCAAGGCCACACCACATCACCCACCACACTACACCACACCACACACCACACCACACTGAGGCATTTAAAGTGAAGATCATGGCAGAATTGTAATTGGCGTACGCATGGTGAAGTTTGTGTGTGATATCTCTCTCTCTCTCTCTCTCTCTCTCTCTCTCTCTCTCTCTCTCTCTCTCTCTCTCTCTCTCTCTCCAGTTTTGGGGGTAGCAACACTATTCTGGTGGCAACAGTGGTCATGACTGGCAAGTTCTGGAACAAGAGAGATTATATGAGTTAGGGTTTGTCACGGGAAACTCAAGCAGTAATTTCTCACGGTAGAATTTTAAGCTGGATTGCCTTTAGTTTATTGTGTCTGAGATGTTTACTTAAATCAGTTACATTCGGAGATGAAAACTGATCGACGTGTTTGTAAAGGACTGTCAGACACGTTCACATTGATTCTTTGTAAAGAGAGGCAGAGTAGGTATACAAATAATATACATACAGTACAGGTATACAAACACTCAGTGCTGCTCACTATGGATAACACAGAAGCCACGTAAACACTAACTCTCATTAGTTCTCTCTGTTTCTGCTTATTCGTCGTGTTATGTCTATTGTTACTTAGGTTCACTTTCATCCAACAGAGAGTCCTGTTGAAGACAGCCCAGAGACAGGAGTAGACATGTCATGCGGAGGGTGGACAGGTTGCGGCACAGGGTCAAGGTGTGGGGATGAGTCAAGACGACGCGCCGGGAGCAGGGCTCGGTGGGACAAATCCGGAGGGCGCCGCGGCAGCTGTGAGGGAGGCTGAGAGTAGTCGGGGCTCATAGAGGGTACCATGCGGCGCTGAAGGTCGGTGACGACGTCGAGTAGGGGTTGAAAGAGGCCAAAGAGATGCTCAACAAGGCTCTTTAATTTGTAAAGGAGGAACATGAGCCGTGTCACCTCGCCTGAGGAGAGTTGGTGGGGGGGGGGGGGGCTTAGGAGCCTTGAGTACAGAGACAGGTTAAAGCATCTTAACTTGCACTCCTTCGAGAGACGTAGAGTGAGGGGCGATATGACAGAGGTTAAACAAAGGGGACATTGCAAAGGTACCCAAACTATCAAACCTGGAGCGAACTCGAAACAATAGTTTTAAATTAAACAAATTTAGATTTAGGCGCGAAATAGGAAACAATGGTTTGGAAATAGAGTAGTGGATGAATGGAACAAGTTACCAAACTTCATCCTTAACTCGAATATGCTGGATAGCTTCAAACTTAGGTTGGATGGATTTATGAGCAATAGGGGTTGGGTGTAAATGGGACTGCCCGCATGGGCCAATAGGCCCGCTGCAGTTCCTCCATTCTTATGGTATGATCATTAGCTCTGGCATCAGAGTGTGCACACAGGGTGGCGTAATGCGTCTAGTGTGGCAGCATTATGTTAGTGTTAAGGAGTAAGCAGTGTTGCTTCCTCTCGTTAGTAGTGAGATAGTCAGGATAACTTAGATTCTTAGAACACCAACTCTGAGCTGTAGTTGTGTGGAGAGGGAAGGGGGGAGGAGGGTGGGGGAAGAGGATGGAAGGCGTGGAGGAGGAAAGAGAGGGTGGGGGGAGAGGAAGGAAGGCGTGGAGGAGGGAAGGAAAGGGTAGGGGAAAGAGAGGGGTGGGGGGAGAGGAAGGAAGGCGTGGAGGAGGGGAAGGAAGGGGTAGGGAGAAGGAGAGGAAGGAAGGCGTGGAGATTCAAGAAGGGGAAGAAAGGAGTTGGGGAGAAGGGGGGTGGAGAGAGGAAGGAAGGCGGTGTGAGTGACTATTGACGCCACCAAACGTTCTCTTCCCTCACATGTGCGTGTGTGTCAAGTGACGCACCAGCTGTGTATCTGTACTGACGCTTTAAGTGGGCCAACTATTAACATCAAGTGGTGAAACTCTGCCCCCTGTGTATTCTGTTGTTGATCTGGCTGTACTGTTCTTCTGGAAGGTTAAGCCTGCTGCAGAGAGGAACCGCATTTTACATAGTTTTTTAGTTTAACAAATTTATTAGCAAAGCTTGTAGTACAGTTTGCCTATTCTGAATAATTCAGTCAGGTCTTGACACTGAGGGTGGTATCACTTCTCACTGCCATGCAAGACAGAGGTTCATACACAAAGAAATACATCATATTCATTAACAGCTACTGTATATATATATATATATATATATATATATATATATATATATATATATATATATATATATATATATATATATATATATATATATATATATATAGAGGTCAGATTCATGTGGGTAATGTCACTGTTCACTGCCATACAGGACAGAGGTTCGTACACAAAGAAGGAAATACATCATATTCATAAGCAGTATATATAGGTCAGTGGTTCACATACATTGGACGTCATATTCTAATTGAAGACTAATCAGTGTGGGCTAGCAAATTTGGGATAAACAGCAAGAATGTCCTCAAGCACCCCTGATTCAATGTAGTAATTACATAGTTCAAGATACAATAAGTCAGGTGGCCTGAAGTCTTTGACAGTGTCACATTCAATAATATAGTGTTCAAGTGTATGCTTTAGAGGTTTATCACAAAGTTTACATGCTGAGTGTTCCGGTATGGGTACAGCGTTACTAACTTGCCAGATGTGTCTGTATCCTAGCCTAATTCTGGCCACGACTACATCACATTGTCTGGTTCTGTCCTTATGCTGGCCATACCGGTACCTCTTGTCACAAAATTTGTCATATTTACTAATGCTACAACTGCCAGGTCTCTCTGCATTTCTCACTTCTTCTAGATCAGAGTTCATGATTCTGACTTGAATGTTTTTAATTACAGTAGTGGACAGGCCAAGGTCACGGTCAACATTTTCTTTCTTACATGCCTCATTGGCGAGTCTATCAGCACGGTCATGATACCTAATTCCAACATGGGACGGAATCCACACAAATTCGATACGAAAGTTGTTCTCATTGGCAGTTATCACATTTCTTTTAATATCACATACAACTTAAGACACAGAGCCTGACGGGCTGTTCATTGATTTCAAAGCACTTTGAGAGTCACAGAATATCACCCCACCTCCATTTTCTCTAAGGTAGTCTGTGGCTAAGTAGATTCCAGTTAGTTCAGTTTGTGTTGTGCTGGCCCAGTTGTTCAGCCTTTGCTTGTTTGACACTATCATCTCTTTTTCTTTATATTTTACAACAGTATACATAGACAGTACAGGTATACACACAATGCACATAGACAGTACAGGTATACAAACAATGCACATAGACAGTACAGGTATACAAACAATGCACATAGACAGTACAGGTATACAAACAATGCACATAGACAGTACAGGTATACACACAATGCACATAGACAGTACAGGTATACAAACAATGCACATAGACAGTACAGGTATACAAACAATGCACATAGACAGTACAGGTATACAAACAATGCACATAGACAGTACAGGTATACAAACAATGGCAAACAGTAACCGAGATTAACAAGTACAGTACGCTGGGCGAGGAAGCCGGTGAACGTTTTGCTGTAGAACGTAATGTTGTGACTCAGCGAAGTTATGCGTATAACTTTATCCTAATACAAACGTCTTGGTACAGTGGTTGGAACTGTAGCCTTGTGACTTAAATACAGTTTTGTTTGCTCTCTCTTTCTCTCTCTCTCTCTCATACACATACACACACACAGACACACAGAGGAAGTTCAGTACAAAGAATCTTGGAAGCTGCTCCTATGGTTGTGACGGCAGCCCAGGTATACACTGTGGTTATTACACATTGCGGTTAGGTTAGGTTAGGTTAAGCAGCACGCCAAGAGCAGATATTCAGCTTGAAACAGAGGCGTAGTATTGTTATTCATGATAATATTGAGTGATTTCTTATCGTGTGAGGAATGATGCCAAGTCTGAAGACAGACAGACGTCACTCAGTCAGGCGCCAGCAGCTGCACAGTCACAAGGACCTTAACCATGTCACCTATTCTCGGATATTGGAAGATCCGTGGGGTAAGATTATTCATGTTTCTTGTATGTATATGTATATTCTCATGTACCATAGTATATAGAAATGGTGTATAGAATACATATAGTGTGAATACATAGGATGATGAGGACAAAGTTGAAACATACAGTGAAACCTCGATATAAGAACATAAGAATGGAGGAAACTGCAGCGGGCCTATTGGCCCACACTGGGCAGTCCCATTTACACCCAACCCCTATCGCTCACATATCCATCCAACCTATGTTTGAAGCTACCCAGCATATTCGAGTTAATGATGATGTTTGGTAACTTATTCCACTTGTCCACTACTCTATTTCCAAACCAATGTTTACCTATCTCGCGCCTAAATCTAAATTTGTCGAATTTAAAACCATTATTACGAGTTCGCTCCGGGTTGGATAGTTTGAGTACTTTGTTATATCACCTTTGTTTAGCCCTGATTTCCATTTACTGTGTACACCTCGATCATATCGCCCCTCACTCTACCTGTACGTCTCTCGAGGGAGTGCAAAAGATGCTTTAACCTGTCTCTGTACTCGAGGTTCCTAATGCCCGGGATTAGTCTTGTTATTCTCCTCTGAATTCTTTCCAGGGATTCTATATCCATTCTGCAGTACGGAGACCAGAACTGAACCGCGTAATCCAAGTGAGGTCTCACATGCGCATGATATAGTTTTAGGATGACCTCGCTAGTCTTGTAAGGCTTGTTGAGAGCACGTACATATTGTTGTCTTGGTTTAAGATTCCTACTTATCATTACTCCTAAATCTTTCTCACAGTCGGATTTCTCTATAACAACATTGTTCATAATTATGATATCTGGTTACTCTGTTTATATCTCCTAGACGGAGTACTTCTCTCCCCACATAATCCGTTAGTTGGGGGTTTCACATCTAATGGACCCTCAAGAAATGGACTTTCATATCTACAGTACAGTATATAGTCCGTTAAATAGAGGATTCACTGTAGATATGTTTGTTATCATCGGGGTGGGAGGTGGGAGGGGGAGGAGGGAGGAGAAGGAGGGAGGGGAGGTGAGAGGAGGAGGAGGGAGGGGGAAGAAGGGAGGAGGGAGGGATGTTACTCAGCAGAATATTCAGGCTGTTAAAATCACTTAATGTTGGCCTGACAACCTCAAACTTCGGGAAACTTAATATACAACACAGAACTAATGTCCGTCTTGTCTTCCTCCTCCTCCAAATGTACTGTCTCTGTAAGGGACTCTCTTAACACCAAGGGACTCTGTAGACACCAAGGGACTATGTTAACACCAAGGGACTCTGTTAACACCAAGGGACTATGTTAACACCAAGGGACTCTGTTAACACCAAGGAACTCTGTTAACACCAAGGGACTCTGTTAACACCAAGGGACTCTGTTAACACCAAGGAACTCTGTTAACACCAAGGAACTCTATTAACACCAAGGGACTCTGTTAACACCAAGGGACTCTGTTAACACCAAGGAACCCTATTAACACCAAGGACCATAAGTTAACACCAAGGACTCTGTTAACACCCAAGGAACTCTATTAACACCAAGGGACTCTAAAGCATACCAAGGACTCTTGTTAACACCAAGGAACTCTGTTAACACCAAGGACCCCTGTTAACACCAAGGAACCTCTATTAACACCAAGGACTCTGTTAACAAGGACTCTCTAACACCAAGGCACTATGTTAACACCAAGGACCTCTGTTAACACCAAGGACTATGTTAACACCAAGGACTCTGTTAACACCAAGTGACCTCTGTTAACACCAAGGACCCCTGTTAACACCAAGGACCTTGTTAACACCAAGGAACCTCTATATTAACACCAAGGACTACAGCACACCAAGGACTCCCCTTGTTAACACTAAGAACTCTATTAACACCAAGGACTATATGTTAACACCAAGGACTCTGTAGACACCAAGGACCATGTTAACACCAAGAACCTCTTATTAACACCAAGGACTATGTTAACACCAAGGGACTCTTGTAGACACCTCAAGGAACTCTGTTAACACCTCAAGGCACTCTATTAACACCAAGGAACTCTGTTAACACTTAAGGACTCTGTTAACACCAAGGAACTCTGTTAACACCAAGGCACTCTATTAACACCAAGGAACTCTGTTAACACCAAGGGACTCTGTTAACACCAAGGGACTATGTTAACACCAAGGGACTATGTTAACACCAAGGGACTATGTTAACACCAAGGGACTCTGTTAACACCAAGGCACTCTATTAACACCAAGGAACTCTATTAACACCAAGGAACTCTGTTAACACCAAGGGACTATGTTAACACCAAGGGACTCTGTTAACACCAAGGGACTCTATTAACACCAAGGGACTCTGTTAACACCAAGGAACTCTGTTAACACCAAGGGACTCTGTTAACACCAAGGAACTCTCTTAACACCAAGGCACTCTATTAACACCAAGGAACTCTATTAACACCAAGGAACTCTGTTAACACCAAGGAACTCTGTTAACACCAAGGGACTCTCTTAACACCAAGGCACTCTGTTAACACCAAGGCACTCTATTAACACCAAGGAACTCTATTAACACCAAGGAACTCTGTTAACACCAAGGAACTCTGTTAACACCAAGGAACTCTGTTAACACCAAGGGACTCTGTTAACACCAAGGGACTCTGTTAACACCAAGGAACTATGTTAACACCAAGGAACTCTGTTAACACCAAGGAACTCTGTTAACACCAAGGAACTCTGTTAACACCAAGGGACTCTGTTAACACCAAGGGACTCTGTTAACACCAAGGCACTCTATTAACACCAAGGAACTCTGTTAACACCAAGGGACTCTGTTAACACCAAGGGACTCTGTTAACACCAAGGAACTCTGTTAACACCAAGGAACTCTGTTAACACCAACCAAGGAACTCTGTTAACACCAAGGGACTCTGTTAACACCAAGGAACTCTGTTAACACCAAGGCACTCTATTAACACCAAGGAACTCTGTTAACACCAAGGGACTCTGTTAACACCAAGGGACTATGTTAACACCAAGGGACTATGTTAACACCAAGGGACTATGTTAACACCAAGGGACTCTGTTAACACCAAGGCACTCTATTAACACCAAGGAACTCTATTAACACCAAGGAACTCTGTTAACACCAAGGGACTATGTTAACACCAAGGGACTCTGTTAACACCAAGGGACTCTATTAACACCAAGGGACTCTGTTAACACCAAGGAACTCTGTTAACACCAAGGGACTCTGTTAACACCAAGGAACTCTCTTAACACCAAGGCACTCTATTAACACCAAGGAACTCTATTAACACCAAGGAACTCTGTTAACACCAAGGAACTCTGTTAACACCAAGGGACTCTCTTAACACCAAGGCACTCTGTTAACACCAAGGCACTCTATTAACACCAAGGAACTCTATTAACACCAAGGAACTCTGTTAACACCAAGGAACTCTGTTAACACCAAGGAACTCTGTTAACACCAAGGGACTCTGTTAACACCAAGGGACTCTGTTAACACCAAGGAACTATGTTAACACCAAGGAACTCTGTTAACACCAAGGAACTCTGTTAACACCAAGGAACTCTGTTAACACCAAGGAACTCTGTTAACACCAAGGGACTCTCTTAACACCAAGGCACTCTATTAACACCAAGGAACTCTGTTAACACCAAGGAACTCTGTTAACACCAAGGAACTCTGTTAACACCAAGGAACTCTGTTAACACCAAGGAACTCTGTTAACACCAAGGGACTCTCTTAACACCAAGGAACTCTGTTAACACCAAGGAACTCTATTAACACCAAGGAACTCTGTTAACACCAAGGAACTCTGTTAACACCAAGGAACTCTGTTAACACCAAGGAACTCTGTTAACACCAAGGGACTCTCTTTAACACCAAGGAACTCTACAACAAGGGACCTGTTAAAACAAGCAACACCAAGGACTACTAAGCACAATTAACACCAAGGAACCTTTATTAAAACACCAAACATTAACAACCAGAACTCTGTTAACCAAGGCAACCAAGAATTTCTGTTAACACCAGGAACTGTTAAATTCAACACCAAGGACTCTAACACCAAGGACTACCAACTTTAACACCAAGACTTGTTAACACCAAGGATCCTGTTAACACCAAGAACCTATAACACCAAGGAACTTGTTAACAATCAAGGAACTCAACACCAAGGACTTTAACACCAGAACTCAAACACCAAGGTACAAGAACTCACTTGTTAACACCAAGGAACTCTGTTAACACCAAGGTCTCTCAACACCAAGGACCCTGTTAAACCAAGGAACCCTGTTAACACCAAGGAATCTGTTAACACCAAGACTCTTTAAAAGGAACTAACAACTGTTAACACCAAGGAACACTATTAACTCAATACCCAAGGAACTTAACACCAAGGAACCACCCAAGGACTCTGTTAAAAAGGACCACACAAGAACTCTAACCTACCAGCACTAAGGAACCTGTTCAACCTTAACACCAAGAACTCTGTTAACACCAAGGGGCCTAACACCAAGGACTCTGTTAACACCAGACTCCTGTAATAACACCAAGGACCTTGTTAACACCAAGGACCGTTAAACAAGGAACCTATTAACACCAAGAACTCTGTTAACACCAAGGACTCTGTTAACACCAAGGAACTCACACCAAGATTTAACAAAACAACAATCAAGAAACTCGTTAACAACCAAGACACTATGTTAAAACAAAGGAATTGTTAACACCAAGGCACTTTAACACCAAGGCACTTAACACCAGAACTCTGTTAACACCACAAATCACCAAGGACTCTGTTAACACCAAGGAACTTACACCAAGACCTTTAACACCAAGGAACCCTTGTTAACACCAAGACCCTGTTAACCAAGGGACTAACACCAAGGAATCAAACTCGTTAAAACCAAGGACCTAGACACAAACCTAACAAAGGAACTCATCGTTAACCAAGGACTCTGTTAACAAGGGACTAATGCTAACACCA